CACTACTCGCTGCCTCCAATCGGTGTTAGCGTTGCCTAGTAGCGCATTCTGCTTCCAGCGAAGATCATACGCGATGGAGAGCAGGCCGTGCAGAAGGATGTAGTGCGTCCATACATCACCATGAGCAGGGAGCTGGCCGTTCATGGCAGCTTTGATCGCCATGATGAAATGCGTCTCAGACTGAGCACCCCTGGCTTCACGAAGAGCGATCCATTCTTGAGCACTCGGGGCTTCAAATTCGTCCTGCGGCGAAGGTAGGTGAAGGTGGATTTGTGGACAGGACATGGCCGGGATATGTCTAAAGAGGAGCGCTCCTCGACTACATCTGGCCGCGTCAGCAATCTGACTGGAGCTTCCACAAAACCTGCCTACTCACGCATCCAACACGAAGCACATGAAGCTTATTCTCTTCTTCATCTCGTCTTTAGACCACATTTGCCACCGCGTCTCAATGTCGAAATTGTCGTAGCGACCATGATGCGATGTGTCGAAGAAACAAGCGTTGCGACGCGCCAGCGTGACTACGAAGCTGCTGAAGAGGTGACTCGTCTCGTGTTGCGGTCTAGAAGCCATCATCTGCGGGAGAAATCGTGCTCAGACAGACGCTCCGACGCATCCCAAGCCGCGACGGACTGACCTTGCAGAATGCTTGCGTGAGCACCATGCCTTGAAGCATCTGTAGGGTGGCCCTTGCCGGCCTAAAGTCGTCTATCGATACCTGCGCGTGAGGCAGCCTTGAGGTCAGAACGAAACGCCTCGATGTGCCGTGACGCGCGGCAAATGAACTCACAAAAGAACCCCAGAGCTTGGCACCCACACGAACGGCAAATTCATGACATCTGCTCTCGCCGAAGTGAGCTCCGATGACGATCAACGGCGCCAGCAACAAAGGATCGGCACGATCCGCGACGAAAGTGGCCTTGTGAATGACTGGCGATTGAGGGTGATACTTTTGGAAGAATAGATGGACATAGTATCGCAGAAAAGCGCAAGAGAAGAGTGGCGAGGTTGGAAGCTCGTAGGACTTTGCAAG